CTGAGATATCTGTCCCAAGTCTGAGAATTGGTATCAAGCTTCAAAGTTCCCTCCCTCAACTCTCTGTCTTTGTATATGTATGCATGTGGAGACCAGAGAACAATCTTGGCTGTTGCTTCTCAGGTTTCTTTTGGATTTGTTTGCCTACCCTCTCCCCCACTGGCTTAAAACTTACCCAGTAGGCCTGGCTGGTTGACCAGCTGGTGAGATCCAAGGATTCAACTATCTGAACAGGGATCACAAGCACACTGTAATACCTGGATTTATTTCTTTAACATAGGTTCTGGGAGATGAAACTCAGGGCCTCGTGCTTACAAAGCAAGCACTTTACCTACCAAGGTTTCATCCTGTCCCCTCACCTTGTCTTTCTCTAATCTACCGGTGCCTCCCTCCTTCATAGAGCCCATGTCAACTGGGCTCCAGTATTGATGGGAACAGCAGTGTAAAGGTACAGAGAAGGGTGTCATTTCCCTCATGACCACTGCTCCTCAAAAGCACTGGGTAGTCCCCCAGACTACTTCCCTCTTCTCTGTAGGAATTGGGCTTTCTTAATTGTGTACCAGAGACTCATGTGTAACTCTTTAGGGCAGAAAGAATGAGAAGTCCTTTCAGGTTATTTCATCTTGGAGGAAATATGGAAAGGTAAAGGACAAAGCTAAGAGAAAGAACTAAGTTGAAATTACCGTAGATGAAAATACATCTTGATTTTATTTTAGTAGTATTATTATTTTGTTAGTGAAAGTTGTTAGGTCCTTGGGCTTTTCAAATAGAAATTAACATTTAAATCAGACTTTTTTTTTCAGCCCCTGCTATGTAACATTTAGGCTCCTAAGGAATATTATAATTGATGCAAGATCATAAGCCCTGTGTTAACAAAGTGCTCTATAGGAAGCTCTCCGCAGCACTTTCTCTCTCGAGTTCAATAAGAAGCTAGTAACAAGAGAACCATCCCCTCCAAGGAATTCTTTTAACCTTTCAGAAACAAAATATTTCATGCTAATTCCTGTTTAATTGGAAGGAAGTCATTTTTAAAAAAAAAAATATCGTTGACTATGGGCTTGAAGCCTGTTCCATCCCTGACCTCTTTAATTTAATCAAGGTCACCTAATAAACTTGCCCAAACAGCTCTATTTCTCAATTAGAAAAAGGTAGCACAGTTTCAAAGCATTTAGTATGTGATTAATAGTGCTGAGCTGGGGATTCAGCATTGGCAGGGTCTTTGTGAGGAGCTGCTGATGAGAATAAAACATTAGTACCTGAAAATTATACTCATCAGAAACTTAAAACAAATCACTTTAATGAGTAAAGCAAAAAAACTGTCTGCCTGAGTGTGTGCGGGAGGTTATCGTGCTCAGTATAGAAACAGTCTTGATGTGGGATAAAAGCTGCTATAACTTAGCCATGTGAGACAGTTTATAAAATACATGCTGTGCTTTTCCTGCCCAAGGACTCAGAAAAGATGGGCTCAGCGTTGCCCAAATCAGGCTTCTAGAGAACTCAAACGCTAGGGTGGACAGAAGAAGCAAGAGAATGAAGTTAGAAGATGGGGACCATCACCATCTGTCTGTCTATGTGGATGAAATACCCAGCATTCTAAGAAGCCACCCTAGGCCTCCTCCTGAACAGACTTTCACTTCATGAGCTTGAGGATGGCCAGACTGCCCTGGAAACAAGAGAACGTTATTCCAGTAATGAAAATTAGAGCCGTTGACAAAGGAACATGTGAGACTGATAACTGGTGTCCCCAGTGAAGTGCTGACCAGCATGGAGAAATAATGGAGCCAGACCAGGCCAGACTCCTAGATGCAGCTTAGTGTTGTTTCTGAAACAGCTTGGAAACGGTGTCCCCTCTCCAGCCATCAGTTCTTTTTATTTTGTTTTAGTTTTTTATATTTTTATATATTTGAATTACAAACAAGATTGAATTACATGACAATTCTTCTCCCTCCATTCCTCCCTTACCACTCCCCCAACTAAAATCCTACCTAGCATATGTCCTTTCTTCTAATCTACACCTGACTCAACCTTTCTGCTTCCTCATGACCTTGAGCTGGAGAGATGGCTCAGCTGTTAAAGGCTAGGCTCATAACCAAAACTATAACAGCCATCAGTTCTTAAAGGCAGTATGAGCTCATGCTCAGCTTCCTTAATAAGATTATGGGAAAGAATCAATGGAAGGATTTATGGCAAGTTGGAAATACCTTGCACTGTAATGGAGAGTAATAGCAAAAGGTATAAACAGATGGTATAAATGAGCATCCCAGTCCGGTCCACACATAGGGATCACTTGGGGAACCCGCTACAGGTAACCATGCCCTGGGTTAGTGCCCAGTCATGTTATTAAAACACTCCCCAGGTGATTCTGATGTACAAAAGATAGAGAGGGCCTGTAACATGAGGATTGGTGACTTTGTGGTAGGTGGTAAAGGAAGGAACTGACAAGACAAGGCAACAATATGAGAGACTAAAACCAAGGTCAGTGGTCAACATTTATAAGGGACAGGAAGAGACTGGCCAAAGGAAAGAGAACAGAAAGGAAGTGGTGTTGGTCTAGTTTGCAAGGCCCCAGTGAAGAATTTATGCACGCCAGGCACATTTGGAGTATACACTGATTAGTGTAGGAAGGGCCCCTCCAATAGGGATGGGCTGGCTCAGAAAGACCTGGAGTAGGTCAGGGCCAGAGTTCCTGCTGCCTTTATGCTGTTCTAGAACAGCCAAGACCGTTCTCCTGTGTCAGGGGTCAGAGAGGAATCAGGCATGCCAGGCAGTGTCCAGAGAGTCACATCTTTGCAGCCTGTCAATGCCCTAGGAAGAGCTTGCCCACCTGAGAGACCTCCTCTCTTGTGGCAGATGCCAGGCCAAAGGCTGAGGCTCAAGGGTGATTAGTTCTAAAAGTTCAGTGTGACCTCCTCAGACAAGAACCACAAGCCAGCCACGGTGGGAAAGATAGCTGCCAAGAAAAGTATTGCAGTACAGCCAGTATGCAGAGATAGGAAGAATGGAGAATTAGCCTGGAGGATTCCTGGAAGCACTCCATCACAGTGTCACAGGGGAGGCAGTGGGAAGCATCCAGAGTAGAACAGAAAAGAGATTAAGGAAACATGGGAGCATACCACAGATGTCAGAGAAGCCTAGAAGGCCAGGCCCGGGACTAAAGCTGGGATTAGGTGCCAAAACCTAACGAAAGACAAGACAGGCAGAACAGTACATAGGTCGCATTAGGTTTCTGCTCCTCTGACCCTGCTACACAAGGCAAAAGTTCTTACAGTGGAGGGTGGAAAAGGGGGGTGAGAGGCCACTCCAAAGCGAGTTGGGGTGAGATTGCACATGGGAAGTGGAGTTCCTTTCTCAAAGCACGAGTGCAGCTGGGCTAGGCTGAGCCAGAGATCAGGTTCTTGAAGCAGAGCTTGAGAAGAGCCACAGAGGGACAGGATGTCTGTGCTTCTTGGGAAATTGTTTATTGTTATTGTTATTATTATTGTTATTATTATTATTATTATTAATTGTGTGCGTATGTGTAGAGCATGCATCAGGAAAATAAAAATAGCGCCTTTCAGGGGGGAAGACTCATGAAGGACATTCAGTCACCATCTGCGAAGGGAGGCCACTGTGGGTTGGAGGAGTGACTGCTTCTATGCTGGGCAGACTGTTAGGAAAGCCTGTCCCTTCCTGCACTGGCCTTGCCCATCAGCCTAGGCCAGTGGTTCTCAACCTTCCTAATGCTGTGACCCTTTAATACGGTCCTCATGCTGTGGTGACCCCCCAACCATAACATTATTTTTGTTGCTACTTCATAACTGTAATTTTTCTACTGTTAAGAATCATAATGTAAATATTTTTTAGAGATAGAAGTTTGTCAAGGAGATTGCGACTCACAGGTTGAGAACCTCTGGCCTGGGCACCCCCTCCTGGAGTCCACTGAGTCCTTATTAAGTCAGTGTCTACTCTGCCCTCTCTGTTCCTGTGTCGCTTCCAGTTCCTCCCTAGTGTTCTCTCAAGCAACAGCCTCTCCCCTCCTCTGTCCACCCACTGTGGAAAGAGCCAAGCTCACCAACTTCTCCCCAGGCTCTCCTTCCTGCTAGCCTGTGAGGTCAGGACGATTGGGGTGAGAGCCCCACTGCCTTGGCCAGCCCTGCCTCAGCTTAGTCCAGTGTGGCACTCAGCTGGCTTTGCCATAGTCACCCCTTCGCTTGCCTGGAGGACTCCAGTTTGCTGGGACTTGACAGGACATCCTTCAGCACTGGTGACAGCGGACTTTACCTGCTGTTGGAAGTCGACATGCTCATTTCTTTTGCATATTTTTCCCTGAGGAAAGAAGGGTAGGGAGGTAGCAGAGGATAACAGTATAATTGAAAAAGTGGTAAAACCTGATGGAGTCTCCACAGTGTCAGGAGCCCAGCCACACCCGGGCCTGCTCCTGCTGCAGGCTTCTTCATTAGGAAGAGCTAAGATGGGAAGGGACAGAGGACTTTTTTTTTTTTTTTTTCCTGAGTCACCTACTGCCTCTTCCACCTCCAGACTCACATTTAAGCCGTCATAATGCCAGGCTCTAGTTTACCTGCACTCCTCAAATTACCCTTATTCCACCGACCTCACACAAAGATGGAAATAGACACTGCCTTGTGTGTCTGTTTAGCTCTCCCTAATAATAGCTAATGTGCGGACGATAATGCGCACTGCAAACATAAAATGTTATGTCAGTGCTAAGTCGTAATAATAATAATCCTGCAAAAATGTAGCATAAGGAATCTCCATGAGCAATCTGAGGACGATTGCTGCTTCAGTGGGAATACAGGTGTTATTGAGAAGCAGACCAATTGTACGATGCTGCCTCTGTAAGAGGCTGAGTAGCAAAAGATTGGAATTTTGGCAGATATCCCATTATGCCCCTGGCACTGTGCCCAGCCACCAGGAGGTATAGGCATAGACAACAGCCCCAGGGCCCAGGCCTTCACTGAGGTTTTTGGTGTTTTTCTCTGGTCTTCATCTGCTACCAACAGTAGACCGGGGACACATCTTGGAGATCAGAGCTTCAGAAGGAGAGTCTCTGCCACCTCTTCTCTCACTGGAGGCCCAGACAAAGGCAGCAGGTGGGTAAGTTCCCCTGAATAGGCAATGCTTATCACCCTTAGAGTACTTAAGGAGCAAGGACTTAGCATTGGCTTCTGGAGTTGACACAATGAATGAAGTCACATTAACAACTTAGACTGCATGAGCTCAGAAACCAGTAGGCATGCCTGAGCCCTCCTAGAGGATAGAGGGCATAAAAATGGGTCCCCACATGGCTCATGTCAGGGCTCTGGATTGTAGAATTTCTCTATAGATGAACCTCAGATTTCTTCTATGGAAAATGTGTTTATTTTAGACTAGGGTCATCCCCTCTGCCTCTGCAGCAGAACTTCCCCCAAATAGCCAGAATGGACTACCTGACCTCCATTACAAACAAGCCACTCCATTCGAGCCCTCATTTCCACCTTTCTCAGACTATGGAATGTAGCTGACTCTTGGCCTCCTGTTAGAACACAGCCTGTACCATTAACTAGCTGTTTCACCTTAGGGTCACTGAAACGTGGTCCCAACATCTGTAATATAGAATTAATAATCACATCCCCTGTATCATGTTCTTGTGAGGGTGGAAGGGGTGAAGACTCTGGAGATGGTGTGTCCAGCTTTCATTTTGGGGTTTGGGTTTGGATTTTGGTGGGCTACTTTCTTCTGATATTATTGTCACGGTGGTAGCGTTGGCAGTAGTGAACACAGAGCCTCATAAAGAGAAGGCAAGTGCTCTACGATCTAGCTACAGCCCCAGTCCGAAAGTTGTGTTTACCACTCTTACTATGACTGTAGCTACTGCTGTTATTTGGGGAAAATGGGGCGGGAAAACAGAATGGTGACTGTAGCTTTTGTCCAAGTCTCCCCTAGCTGTTGGAGAGATACTGAGGGTGTTGGGTAGGGTTGCACTTTCACAGGTGTGAAGGGGGCAGGGGATATAATGGAATTAACCAGGGCAAACAACCAGAATGGCCAGCGGGGCTTGTGATTCCTTCAGAAGGAGCTGTCCAAACAGAATAAGCCAGGCTAGCTCAGGAAATGGAGTGGATTGAGCAGGAGTGCCCAGATGTGGTCTCAGCTCCAGTCCATTAGCAGCACGTGTCCGCCTGGAGAGTTCATCCTTAGACCAAACACATGGAACTACAGACCCAGTAGAAGGCCCAGAAATAGGTGTTTCAAATCAGTCCACCAGGAGACTCTAATAGGGACTAATATTTAAAGAGCATCAGGTTAAAGTGACACTGAAGGTCATATAGGGTTCCAATTTCCATAGCTTAACCAAAAAAGTAAGTTGATTTTTGGTCCGAGAACAGTCTCTTCTATGTCAGAGCTATCTCGGAAGCAAGAAGAGCATCAGGGACTGAGTGTTCAGGAGTCCCAGCTTGCATTCTGCCTGGTAAGAAGCCGTCCAGTGCACCCTCTAGTGTGGTCACCTCTCACCTTGGGAGCAGCATGAGCAGAGAAACATGAGTCTGGGTGCACAGCATGATGGTTTCTGCCATAGACCAGCCAGTGGGGGCCTTAGCTACCCCACAAGAATGTTTACACAGAGAAGCAGATAGTCCTATGAAAGCGTCCCCAGGTCACCGAGTCTTAGCTACAGCCCTTTCTTCAGACATCAGAAGGCAATGTTGTGACAGAGAGGGGAGCCCCTGAAGGCTCTGGAATATTGTAGGGTTATCTTCCAGGCCCTCAGCCTACCCTTGTCCCCTTGTATATAAGGACAGCAGCCAGTGAAGGCCTTAGGAAAAGACTCTCTTTGTGTGTAAGAAAAGAAATACACAGTTTAACTACATCCTCCCAGCATCCCAGGAGTACAACTGGCAAAGTAGAGAGAATGTTAAACACAGCATTCCCCAAAGACACAAAGAGGAACAGTTCCAGAGAAATACAGATATTGCTAGCAACAATATGTTAAAGTGTTTTTTTTTATTATTTAGTTACATCTTGCCTGAGCATGAAAAAGATATTAACACACTGTCAGCTTACTGGGACATAACCCAAAATAACTTACATTTTTCATATATTGCTAATTATTTTTCTGAGGCTGGCTCAGGCTGGTAAGAGAGAGATTTCAAGGCTTTCACCAGATTATTTACTTAAAGAAGTTAAGCATGCCATTATGTGTTCCCATGGAAACCCAGTAATACAGCAATGGAAGAGGAGGTCACTTTGACCATAATTAATATAGAAAACAATGGTTTATATAGAATCTGGTAAAGGATACACTGAGATACCATGTAATACTACTAAGCCTTTTTCTCAGCAATGCAGTTTAATCGTTGGATCGATTTTTACATACCAGTATCACTTCAGAAGTTATACTAGTTTAGTGCTAATTTTCCAAGTGCAGCACAATTTTGTTTAATAGAATTTGTCCAATGTTTTTAATTGCTTTTTTGCTCCAGACAATTCAGTATCTAGACTTTTCTAAAGAACACAGCAAGTAAGAATACATAAGTGTATCTGTCAGCTTTACCCTTCTTAAATTGTATATAGTATGGCTCCTTGCCTTGACTTCTCAATAAACAGTAGTTTGGAGAACTAACTGATAATAATCCAGGTACCACTAGATTCAGCAGTGCTTTTAAAATTGCTAGAAGTAGGCTTAGCTGTGTTCGGGATGGTTTCCAAGTAGAGTGTTGTGTTGGATTATTTTGAAAACTGAAATTTTGTAGTCCACATGAATGGCTCTTTCAGATTTATTGGAACATAGCACACCCTATGGATGTTTTTATTCAGAGGTAGATGGACATTCAGTTTAATTCTTAGACTTGTTTGAATAGTGGATTTCTTGCATGGCCTCCTAAGGTAAATTTTACTGTAGAAGCTTGGTGACACATTTATCAAGACTGTTTAATTTAGTACAGTGTCCCAGAAAAAAATTAAAGCAGAAAAGAAGAAAAATGAGTTGACCTTTCAAGTTGCTTGGTTTCTAACACACAGAAACTGACAGGCAATATTAGAATTCTGATTCTTTCAGCATTCCAGTCCAAGAAACATAACACAGCCTCTTCCAGGCAACCTTGCCAAAGGGCTACTTTTGGGGCCATTGCATGACTCCAAATAACGTTTTCAAACAGGGAACAGGTTGCCTAAAGTTAAGTGGAGTCAATGCACAATTTTTCACTGTTTAGAAAATAACTACTTTGCCATCACAGGTATGACCAAGTTTGGTTTTTATAAATATTAAGCCTGAAATTATTTAATCAGCAATGTAAATCAGTTATTTTCCCTAATTAAAAAGATGGTGATGGGATTGGTTATGGTATTGATTTTTTGAGGGGTGGGAAAAATCACAGCTGTTTCTTTCCCTTTCTCCCTTTTTAAAACATAATGACCTTGCATTCCTGTTCCAGAAGTGAAGTGTACCCAGCACCGTAGTCTGCTTGCCAGGCACACTGGTCATGCCTTAACCAAGAATAAGAACTCTCAGCTAGATCATCCCATAGGCTTATAAGACAAGCCCTAAAATAATGGATGGAACTTTCCCTGTATGTATTTATGTTCAGATGATTTATTAAAATAATGCTGCTGGCACATGCTTTATAGCTGCTTGCATTTTGCTACACAGATTCCAAGATATCTTGCAGACTCTGCAATTCATTTGGAAAATGTAATTTTCATCCCTGCATACTAATCGATTTCTTCACAAACACCTGCTATCAGTTATGATAATAAAAATGCCACCCTGAATTGAAAAGGGGCCAAATAGAGCTTCCTAAGGAAATGACTTAAGTGTCTTTGAATGCCACTAAGTGTAGTAATGTTCTTGTGTATTGCCAACCCTTTTTTCCTCGTTTGCATCCTCAGTGATTTTGCCCCATTACAGCTTCCCTCTTTCAAGTGATGCCTCCAGGCCCTTCCCTTGGGGAGTGGTGAGCTGACTGCTCAGGACACCCTGGTGTCTAGGGGCGTGGGTGAGATTTGAGAGCATCAACCCACGCTCCTGGGTAAACTCTGGGTCGTTGGTGATTTTTTTAAGTCCACGGAAAGTGTAAAAGCACCTACTCCTTGGCTTTGCACACCCATATACACCAATCAAATTTCCTGTATCCATTCTCTTGAGCCTCCAGTGCATTCCATGCACCGTTGCAGAACTAATTTTCCTAAATCACCAATTTCTTCACACCATTCCATTACCCCAAACACCTTCAGCACTTCTCACCATATTGGGTCTAAATGCTTTCATCCTCTCCCAGACTCCACCTCTTGCTCATTGCTTCTAGGCAAACACTTGCCTTTTTAAGCAAGTGTCTCTCATTACTGTGCAGAATGCCCCCCACCAGCACCAATTGTCACTCCTCGGTCTTTGCTTATGGTCTTGCTCTTGAGCGATCCTTCCCCGCTTACAGGGATTTCATCTTCCAAAGCACACTTACATTCTATCAACCTGTAGTCTCCTTTTGTTTTTTCATCATTCCCAAGATGTATTCCGTTATCATATGCCTTGATACTAAGTTGATTATTTATTCAACCAACATTTATTGAGTACCTACTTTATGCAAAGCTACCCTTTTTGTCCTATGAATACATTAGATTCCTGTAGGTGTGCCAGTTTTTGTGGTATTTCAAAAGAAATTGTGAAAAGCGACATATTCTGTGTTCTCCTTTGTGATCTAAGATGCCCAGACAGACTTGGTCCTAAGGAAGTATGCAGTAAATGCTTGTTGACTAATTGATCCCTAATGGCTTTATGCTGGGAGTTTCCTTGTTAATTGCATGTTCTGTTTGATTAGTATTTCAGTGTGAGAACTATACATAATCATTTTTGCAAATTGGAATATTGTATCACACTTAACTGTAAAGCTACTTTTAACATGGTTTGATGTTCACTCTTCGGAGAGAGAATTTCCTGGGGACCTCAGAGTGCCTGTCTAAAGCTCCGTGCAGTGGAGCCTACAGGTAACTAGATGACCTCATTCTGGCCCTAGGTCATGTTAAGTGGCAGATGGGACCTAGACATGAACACAGGGAGCTCTATACCTTTGTGTGCCAAAGTCAAATCCATGGGGACACTTATAGCAACAAGTGTTGAGCGTGTTATTTTACTTTTCTCTTCCTTTCAAAAGTAAACAATGGCTTCCATGTGGGGAGAGAAACAGTGGGCTGCTACCTGGAGAGTATGTGGGAGATGCTGTTTTTGAACAGTTGTTAAGAATGGAACTCACATGAACTGCCATAGAAGTGTTGGTTAGAACTAGGCTGACTGACTAGAGGCCAGGTTTAGAGTCTGTGTCGGTTACTTTGACCAAACAAATGATTGATTTCTCTGTGTCTCTTATGGTCGTCACCTGTTGAAATAGGGATCAGTAGACTCACATCTAAGCCTGATGGGTCAACTCAGTGGGCTAGTTTATATGAAGAAGCCTCTGATCCAGGGACCTTATCTGTGGGAGTGCCCAGCAAGCCATTGTTATATTGCAGAGCCCACAAAGCATGAAGACGGAAGCAGAGCAAGAGATTCCTCTCCTCCATCTCTGTCTCATACCACCCTATCACTCCTGTTAGATGTTTCTTGAGCCTGGAGGTGTGTGTAAGACCCAGAGCGAACTGCCTTTGACTTCTCAGTGAGAAGGAGATGGGAGATGATGCAAATTAAGTCTGCAACAACACATTGAGACTTTCAGCTTTCAGGGAGGAGCAGAGCAACCACTCAGCCTTGTAGGGAAGAAAGAATTTTAATCTGTCGGGGAAGCAGGTGGAACTAGGTTTCCCTTCTGATAGCAGTTAGAGAAAACAATTTGTGCAATTTGTCCCGGCAATAGAGCAAGAAGGAGCCTTGTGCATATCGTTTCCTCCCTCCCCTGGGAGGCTGCTGCATGCCTCAACCTGTGCAACGGTCACTTACTTGAAAGGAAGAAGCAGCCCAAGAGGCTGAGCAGTCATACAGCCCAAGAGAGGACAGTCATGCGGTAGATGTGACAGTTGCCAAGAATTTTGAGCTTCCTTGGTATGAAGCATAACAGACCAGCTTATGGGAATGTGTCCAGGGTTGTGGGGACAGGTCAAGAGGCGGGAGTTTTAAGTGATGAGTCCTCTGCCCACTGGAAGCATTCATGTGTAAGATGGGAAAAGTGGAATAGATTAAAGGAATTCTGGGGCTGTTGCTCACGGTATTTGCATGGCATACAAGAGGTGCTATCCTTACAAAAGCAATTCCTAAAGTGGCCACACGAACTGGTAAACTAAGAGCTCCAAGGCAAAGTGATCAAGGCTTAACTGCTGAGTTGATGTGAATCTCAGTTTAGGTGAATCCCACCAAAGCATGCCTCAATTTCGGCAGGAAAGTGACTCCCCAAACTTCTTGTGTTTCTCATTCAGCCCTGGCTGCTCAGGCCTATGCCCTCAAAGAGGAGAATGACAGCCTCCGGTGGCAACTGGATGCCTACAGAAATGAGGTGGAGCTGCTGAAGCAAGAGAAAGAACAGCTCTTCCGAACAGAAGAAAACCTCACCAAGGACCAGCAGCTGCAGTTCCTACAGCAAACCATGCAAGGCATGCAGCAGGTACTGGCCTCATGTTGCTGACAGAATGGGCCTGTGTGCATTTCTGTGGGGATGGAAAGATGGCCAGTGGTTGGAAAGGGTGAAGGAGGAGAAAGGGGGACCAAAAAGCTAAGTCCATAGCAAAGGAAAAAAGTGCTGAAACCTCCCGTGAAAGCTAGACTCTGGAAAAATGTCAGCTAGTGATCTGTTGGGAGTCACGCTAAGGATGGGAAATAAAGGGCAAGAATTACGGAGGTTGAGAAAGGTAGTATATGAGTGTGTGTGTGTGTGTGTGTGTGTGTGTGTGTGTGTGTCTGTCTGTCTGTCTGTCTGTCTGTCTGTCTGTCCGTCCGTCCGTCCGTCCGTCCGTCCGTCCGTCTGTCTGTCCATGAAATGTGGTCAAATTAGTGTTGAATGTAATAACACGTTTTATACTTAGAGGAGTTTTAAGTTCAAAGCCTGACAGCTGATCTTTACAAAAGCCCTGTGTTTGGTTGGTTGGTCTTTTTCAAGATCATCATCAATACAAACAATATTCTTCCCATCTCTGAATTATTGTTAGGGTCTGGTCAGGTTTAAGAATTGATTGTTGGGTCTGGAGAGATGGCTCAGTCTGTGAAGCACTTACCAGGTAAGCCTGATAACCCGAATTCAATCTCCAGAACCTATGTAAAAAAGCTGAATGTGCTGGCGGGGTTACATGTACAATCCCGGCAGGGAAGGCACAGACAGGTGCAGCCCCGGGCCTTGCTGACTCCCAAGCCTAGCCTAATTGGCCAGATCCTGTCTCAAAAGCCAAGGTGAATAGTTCCTGAGGAATACCAAAAATGGACCTCTGGCCCCCATGTGCGTGAATGAGTGTGTGCACATGTACCTGCACACAGGAACACACACACACTCACATACACACTCACACATGCACACAGGAACACACACACTCACACATGCTCATGTACATACACACACACACACACACACACACACACACACACACACGAAGTAATTGCTGATGGACTGGATGAGTTCTGAGTTGGGTCTATATAGCTATAGGAATGAAAAGCTGTGCTTTTGTTGAAGAATAAGAGACTTCAGTCAGACACATTCCATCTAAAGCTCTATGGACTCTGTAGGATTCATAGCTGTCACTAGGTAGGAGATAGCAGCTATGATCTGACCATGTGCTATGGGAAATATGGAGATTGGAAAACCCAAGTATGGATAGGTAGGGAAAAAGAATTTTAAAAATTCATGGATGGATGTGTGTCTCAAGACTTTAGTTGATAAATAATGTTCTCCAGGCATTGGGGTCATTGAGTCAACTTAAAATAATAGAGCATAAATTGTCATCATTGCACATGGGCATCTTTTATTGTTCCTTTAAATATATAAACCCAATTAATGTTTTCCAGAAAAAAAATGTTTTTTTTTTTAAACCAGAGAAAGCTATTAGGGTTGATGGGAAGTTTAACTATAGTGAATAGTGTGCTTGCTTTTTGAATTCCCCACATTCATACTGGCTGCTCTCTTAAACCAGCAACAGTAATTGCCTACAAATGTGTTCTCATGATTAGGGGTGCCGACCACAGAAACGTGAGTCAGACCAGGAAAAATAACTGAGAAGAAAGAGTCTTAAAAACAAACAAAAAAAGCATAGCATGTTGGGAATTGAGCAGTGACCAGGTCATACAGATTATGTCTTAAACATGTCTTGCCATTTTAAAGCAATTTTTGGAGTCCTGGCTCTGAGTCCTAACTGGTTGATGTTCACAGTGTGTGTTAGACTAATCAGTGAGATTCAGAGGTCAGAGCCAGCCAGGAAAATGTCACTGCAGTCATTGCTCAGGTCTCTGCATTTGGAAAGCTGATGTAACAGCTGCTGTGTGAGGTTCCTGGGGTTGTCCATATGCCCCTACAAGGGGTACGGGGATGGAGTTTGCCAGCATGATAATCTGTCCATTTCCCCAAAGAGTATGAAGGCAGATACAGCCTGCAAACTGCTGTCACACTTCAGGCAGCAGGCCCTCTTTTCCTTCTAAAAAGATGTCTCTAATTTCTTTAAAAGTAGCTAAAACCTTGAGGCTTGTTGCAGCATGCAAGATTGTTCTGCTACATTGAGGAGACGCCTGCTGGGATCTCAGCATTGGAACATGATCCATGCATCTTCTCCACAAAGGGCAGTGTTGGGAATCTGTAGTCTTTCGGAGGAATAATTTCTGGTAGAGTTTCATTGGGGTGATTTCTTTGTTGGTAGGAAATGCCTGTTAACACAAAGGTTTGTTTGTTCTTGCGGTGTGGCTTGAATTCAACATCAAAAATGGTACCTCACTTTCTGAGGGTTCCAAGTTCAAGATCTAGGCATCAATAAGGTTGGCTCCTTCCAAGGATATGAGAAAGAAGCTGCTCTTCCAAGTTGCTGGTGGATTGCAGGCAGTTTTCCTTAGTTTGAAAACATATTTTCCTGCTCTCTGCTTTTGTCTTTATATGATGATCTACTTGTATCTACATATGTATTGCCAAATTTCTGATTTTTATAAGAACTCAGCTTATGTAAGGTTAGGGGTCCACCCTTCTCTAGTTTGACTTCATTGTAGCTAATCATTTTTGCAGTGACCCCCTTTTCCAAACAACCTCACATTCTGTGTTCAGAAGGCTAGGGCTTCAATAGAGGGATGGGATGGAATGTCTGAAGAACCATAAGAAGTACATGGTAATCTAAGGTATGGATTGAGTAGAAGATGCGAGGACCAGGGCTGAGAGTCAAGAACAACACAGTACCTGTGGAGCTCCAGGTTGTGTGAAATTAGTGGTATCATAAAGAATAAGGCAGGAGCAGGTCAGAGCTGAACAGAAGCATTTTGCCCATTGATCTTTACAATGGTTTTAATTTTTATTGTTTTTAAGCAGGTACATGGCTACTCTGAGTTAACCCATGATTAAAATGGACATGCTTGCCGGGCGTTGGTGGCACACGCCTTTAATCCCAGCACTCGGGAGACAGAGGCAGGTGGATCTCTGTGAGTTCTAGACCAGCCTTGTTTACAAGAGCTAGTTCCAGGACAGCCTCCAAAGCCACAGAGAAACCATGTCTTAAAAAAAAAAGCAAAAACAAAAAGAAACAAAGAAAGGAAAAGAAAAGAAAAGGAAAAAGAAAAGAATAAAGGCTCGTATTTCTGCCATGTTCTATCATATAAGAATACATTACTACAACTAACTCATTTGAATCTCACCACTAAGAATCCTCACAGCAGTAAAACATATAGTCGAATTCATCATTGTAACAAATACCTGAGATAAACGAACTTGTAAACTTGTGTGCTTTGCCCATAGACTCAGATGATTTTGTGTATGGTCAGTTGGGTTTGTTGTTTACAGGCCTGTAGCTATGTAAACAACTGTCAGCTATGTAAAGCTGTCGTAGTGGAGGTGTGGGGAAGCAGAACTGACCATCTCTATGCAGGCAGACTGGAAGCAAAGGAGAGAAGAGGGAGTCAGGGTACCAATCTTCCCATGACCTGAATTCTTTCTACTAGGCCCCACTTAAAGGACCCATGACCTTCCAATATCAGACCTTGATAGTAGCCAAGTCTTCAGCATTATTAGCACTTTGAGTATTTATAAGATTCAACCCATAACAACTCTAATATGTGATTTCTGTAATTCAGCTACATTTGAGAGTATTACTATAGCAACAACAACAACACACATACCTATACAAACACACACACACTAAAGAGTCTTAAATGGCCTTAGAAATAGCAGACAATTTTCAGAATTGCTTTCAAATTTAACCAAAAGTTTTCTGGTGTTTTTCCCCCCTCTTTTAAGCCCTTGTTAATATGTTCACCAACGACACTCCATTTCTTACGTGTTTGTGAAAAAACATCATGAAGCAAAGTTCTTAAAAATGAAAAGCCTTAGGGTGACTTTGTCCTGATGCTTCTAAGTTTGACTCTACACTACACATGAGTCATAATTTAATAATATTAGACATTTCATACCTGAAGAAATAACAGCCTGTAGCCATGGTAACATGATCGCCTTTACCAAGCCATATGACAACAATTAAGTTAGCCTCTCTCTGCTGGGAGGCTAAGAAGGTTACAGCCATTTCTCACTTTCATTTATATCTTTAGGTATACAAATACAAATAATCATTTTAAGCTCTGTTCATCTTCAGATTGCTACAGTGAGTTTTTTTTTTTTTTAGATCTAGTAAAATAAAATTTCTTCTGTAGATGCGTTTAGTTCTATGAATGTTGACAAATGCATACAGTCATGTAGGCATCATATGGCCATCAGTATGTCAGTCATTTCCATAGCTGTTCCCTCAGGCCCCTTTTCATTCAGCTCTCCTTCTAGCATCCAGTAAGCTGAAATCTGCACTTAGCAGCTTCCCATTTCCAAGATCTTCCAGTTTGCAACCTGTTAAGGCTGGCTGCTTTCACTTCATGTGTATTTGAGGTTCCTCTGGGTTGCTATGCCCTTTGTTCCATTTCCTGCTGAGTAGAATTCTACTGTAAGGGAAAGCTACAGATTGCATCTAGGCACTGGTTCACAGACACCTATGTTGTTTGGGGTAAATATGCACAAATTTGCTATGCATATTCATTTACAGGTCTTCTATTTAGACTAACTTTTCATTTTTACTTGGGTAGCTACCTATGATTGGGATGGCATGGGAAGCATCCTTCTTAAGACAATGCCAGTGTGTTTTCCAGAGTGCCTGTACCTGATTCCCAAGTGACTGTAGCAGTAATTCAGGTGTGCTATGCCCTTGTCAGTCATGTATTTAGTTTGTTCTGTCACTGTTACCCACTGTAGTAAATGGATGGTAATGTCCTGATGTGGCTCATCCATATCTAAATTTAAATATTTTTATCTATGAGCATAGCCCCAAAGACCATATTCTTAAACGTAGTCTTAAAAATCAGATGTTTGTTATTCATTGTTCTTTCACAATTTTATAATGTATGTAATACATTTGGTTGTTCTCTCCCTCACCCATTCCTGTTTCCTTCCTG